GTTTATTTATTTGTTTATTTGTTTATTTATTTGTTTTGCTATAGTCACCTTTTTGAAAAATAGTTACATAGGGATCTTAAAACTCATTAAATGAGTTGCCAAGCTGTCAACACTGATTATTGTCCACACTAGCTTTCATCAGGCCCAAACTAACTGATAACCTAAGCTAAGCTTAATGTAACTCAATTAATGTTTTCTGCCGTTTATTCCATTAAGATTGTACTTATTCAAATATGTTTAAATTTGTTACAAGAACAAGCAAACTGTCATTTGAGCAGAAGCCTATTGCAGCTTAATTGTTTATTCTGAAAAAAATAAAACATAAAAAAATAAAACCCCTACCAAACTGTGGTTCAGACTGATTAAGTGAAAGGTTGAAGCTTATTTCTAATGACAGAAATGGTTTACGTGCTTGTTTCACAGATCTCATCTTTAATGATTGAACACTCATGGCCTGTCAYTATCTGTCTATTGATGTCTGCGGCTGGGGCTGATGTTTATCATCACTAACAGCCTCCATGTTGTGCTACAAAAAGGTAAACTAGAGAAAACACAAATAAAGGTAATTTCCCACCTTAAGTGGAAAATTTTATATAAAGAATATTAATTATGTCCGTATTATAAGGTACTGCTGTACGCTTACGATGAGACACAGATGTCCCACATGAATAAAYCATTTTTCCGTCCTCAGATTCTCCGTGACTTCTCTCATGACCTGTGGATTGAATCTTTTTTCTGACTCTGGGTTTTCCTATAATTCACGGACCCAGTGAGGTTGACATCTACTTCCTGGCCTGGACACACGATGTTTAGGGAATTCAGACAAGGAAAATTATGGGAACGCCATAAGAACTGGCTGTGGACCAATCCTGTCCTCCACAGAGGGCAAGCCAACTTTTGACCTCAGATAATAATTATGCTCCACAACACTTAAGCATAAATTCACCACATGAAGACAACCTTGAATGTGTTATTGGAGGCCTCGAACTGTGTTTAGATAAGGCCTGAGTATTACCAAATATGATTTAATATTCATCTTCAGTTGCAGYGAAATAATCTAACTGCTGCTCAAAATATCTCCCAATGCTGTTTTTCTCTTCAGCATCTGGAGCTGATCCCACTTTTGTATCTTCTTAATACTTCTGTCCTTCAGTCTAACACAGCTTCTCTCCCTACATGGTAAAGGCCGAAAGGAGGCCAGTTGTGCTGGAGAGCAGTTATGTTTGGCATCTAGTTTACTTTCAACCRTAAAACTGATTTACTTTAATATTGGAATCTGCACACTTTTCAAATAACAAAATGATTTTATGTTTATACTGAAGTCACTTGAACATTTTAATACTTAAAGGGGCAATATTATGTGTTTCTCAGGCATACATTTAAATACTTTACCATAATAAAGTATCTATGTCACCTTTAGCTGTTATTAAAATGCTGTTTTTAATGTTTAAATAGAAAATAAACTTATCTTCTCATCACTTCCTCTTCTAAACGCCTTGAAATTGGCCTCTGTCTCTTTAAGAACCACCTTCCGCTTCTGTCCCACCCATTTCAGTG